TTTACTGCACACTAGAGTGATACTAGACCTTACTGACAAGGTTGAGGAATGTGAGCCCTCTCTTGAAGAGTGAGACCATCACCCACTACCAGTCCAAAGGTAATGACTCCGACAGTACCGTGGGGTTGTTGATTATTAGAATAATGTCTCAATGGCATTACACAAAAGATATGACACATTAATTCAGCTCTTGGGGTCCGCTCCATGTTGAGATACTGCTCTATGTTGGACAATGCTCCATGTTGGATGATTTTCAGTGATTGGTATTGGCTTTCATTTCCTTTCTTATTTATTTTGGGAGGCTGTAGTAATCCTAATGGATTGTTTATTACTGTATGGATATGTCATACAAAAACCTAGACTCTTGGAGTGTAACTCCAACTCATTTCTTCACTACAGTTCCCTCCCCTTCCAGTGTTTCCCACAAATCCATCTATAACACCCTAGAATCCAATTCAGTAGCCTTCACTCTTGCTTCTCAATAATAATGTCCTCGGTTCGAATCCCATTTTTTCCAAGTGGAGTTCTGTACAGGAGGAGAGAATGCCATCTGTGATAAAATACATAGCACAAGAAATAGTTGACCCGCTCGTCTATTGTATAAATCTCTCACTACATTATGGAGTAGTGTGCCAAAGAAAGTCAAGACAGCAACAATCATCCCAATACTAAAATCATGGGATAAAAATAATACACAAAACTATCGACCCATATGAATACTGCTCTCTTTTTCCAAAGTATTTGAGCGGTTTGTATAGGATATACTCAGTGGCTTGAATAAAATGTGTACTCTGACTCTATGTCAATATGGTTTCAGAAAACAGCACAATGGCAATTTTAGATTCTGTCGAAAAAGGAAATGATGCGATTGACAAAGGCAAGTGTGGATTTGGTGATTATCTCGATCTGTCAAAAGCGTTTGATACTATCAACGTTGATATTTTGCAGGGGAAAGTTGAGCATTATGGTGTCAGGGGTGTAGCGCTTGATTGGTTTAGCAGCTATCTATGTGAGAGTGAGCAATAGGTGCAACTTAACAATAGAAATCTCAAAACAGGACTATAAAATCTGGGGAACCACAGGGTTTGATATTAGGACCACTTATTTTCATTACATACATAAATGATTTGACAAATTCAACTAATATTATACACAAAATAATTTTTGCTGATGACACAAACTTTTTTAACAGAAAACAATGAATAATGAACTGATTAGAGTTGACATTCAACTAAAATGTAATAAAATTGATTTAGGAATGTAAAAAGATAAAACATGACTTTTAGTTTAGCATCCTTGGAGTTCCCTTTCACAAAGCATTTACAGACTTGTATTACAATGAATTATAAATAATGAGAATTGATTGAAAGAAAGAATTGAGTGAGTATGCATTTTCTCCCCATGTGTCTTTGTGTTTGCTCCGGGTGCTCCGGTTTCCCCTAACACTAAAAACAAGGCCAAAAGGTTATATCTTCTAGCGCTTGTCCTGACCCCAGGGGTTGTACTAAGGCAACCACTGTTCCTAACAGGGACAATAAAATATAACTCAACTTTACTTAACTTTGAGCAGGAGAAAGTTTTCACTCATTCAAACATCACAAGTTTTCCATTGGCTCCCATTACACTGGCTGAAGTATAGACTGTGGGTGGGCCCTGAAGTCCATATGGTATACTCTCAACTGGTTCATTGATGATCCCTGATGTCCCTGGGATAACATCCATTCAAATGATTCAAATTGGACAAAGACGTGTATTCAATTATTCTTGTCTAATCAAAACCTAAGTTGAACAACCTATTGATATGCCTTGTATCTTTTGAAGTCACCAGCTTTGGAAACACAAGCATTACAACCCAATATTCATAAAGCCTTCTCCTTATAGTTGTTGACAGGCGAGACTAAACATGTCAGCGGCATCTAATGGTAATGTCACTCATAAAAGAGAACACAGGACTCACCACATGTTTGCTTATTAAAAACATAATTAGCATACCTGTACTGAGAAAATATCTAAACCTTATCACAGTCTGCGTCAACTAGTGTGACCACATCAATTTTCAGTGTAGTTCGCTTCATCAGAAACCAATCAGCTTCTTATCTCCAGGAAGCAGCATGCCAAATTTCCCCAAAATGATGCTTTGTAAATTGCCACAGGATAATAAAGGGGCGTAATATTTGCGACGGTCATGTGTCAATGAAACTGCAGTTTGCAAAGATCAGAAAGTGCACACTTGAGCTCCCATAATAACGAGTGCCTCACCAAAACACGGGGAGCTTTTACACTCTTCCATTCATCCATCCATTTTCTTCCCCTTAATCTATTTCTGGGTCGGGGGGGTGGCAGTCAGAGCTGCACCCAGTACACAGAGCACCAGCCCCTCACTGATCCTCCTGCAGGTGGTGAGTCCACAGGAGCTGAGATCTTTCAGTTGGGGCTTTGGGCAAAGTAGGGTTAAGTGTCTTGCCCAAGGACACAACGACAGCAGTCATCAGTGGGAGTCGTGAAGTAGGTCTTACGGTGGGCTCGAACCCACGACCTTCAGGCCCAAAGGCCAATGCTCTACCAACTGAGCCACTGTCGCACAGTTTCAAACAGAATTCTTTGTTTCTTGTGATTTGACTTCAATCAAAGATTTAGAGTAATGCACTATTTCTGCCACAACAAGTAAATTAATTATCAGAGTTAATCACAAAAATGATATCGTTATTTGAACCCTAGAGGTGTTCAGGTTAAAAGTATTTTTAATCAAACAACCAAATGTGTTAGAAGTCATCTCTTTGAATATGTTCCAGGGGCATCACTTTTTGGACAAATGTATAAAAATCCCATATGCACTGAACTTTCATGATCTAAACAACTAAGCTATAAATGAAAGGAATAATCAGCCAACTACTCGATTGTCAAAATCGTAATTGCATTCAAGTCTGACCAGTATCTGCAGCAGTACCAGCACTAATATGTAGCCGCTGCTCTTAACTTAACTCACAAACTTTGAATACAGAATTTGGGACTTATTTCGGGAACAAATGAAACTCAGTGCTAATTACAGTAACGTTAAAGGGCAGTTACAAATCAGTTCTACAATATTGGCTAAAAACAGACTTGTTGAACACTATTAAAAGGGCCATCTCAGCATCACACAGGTCTCCTTTAAGAGAGTTGACATAAGGACAGGAGCAGAGGGACCAAGTGGATCGCTGATGGGGACGTGCATGTGAGATGTTAGCCTGGGTCAAAACTCTCTTTATCGGTCTCTGTCCCTAGAGGTGAAGTGGACAGTTGGGGTTGGAGTAAGCAGGACACGTCAACGAGAGCCACTGTGAATGAAGCTAAAAATAGCCAAAGGAGGAGGTAGACTTGTGCCCAGAGAGATGCCCCACAATAAATGACACACCATCTGTTCATTCACAAGTGTCTGTCAAACACATTTGCACTGGGCATGATTCAAAAAGATGCCAAATCCAGTCATTAATTAAGTTTCAAAACTGGGAAGAAAATGACCATAAAGAAGAATATATGAACAAAGTTTAGTTTAAAGAAGACCATTGTGTACTAAGAAAATTAGACTCAGTGTCAACATTCATATTTACCAATTGATTATAAATTACAGCAAAAATCAGGTTTACTAATTTCCACGCTCTCTTAATGTGACATCCGTATGTTTCAACAATATACCAGTACATAAAAAAGAAGCCTTATGAAATGAAGATCTTGCACAATATGTCTCAAACAGATATAATTGCCTCCAAAAAGGTCACTTCCCTGAGTACTAAGGGGAAGCATCCATAGGGGTGCACTCAGGTGGGCCAGACTGACGGAGACCTACCAGGTCTACGCCTCTGCTCCTGCAAAGATGAATGACACCCATTTACAGTATTGAGATGCTGTCAGTCTTTGCTCCAATTGCAATAGAAGATGGAGTGTTTTGAGCTGTAATAAACGTCAAGTAATACACTATAAATCTAACCAAAGCACAATATGACTTCAACACTTCTTATATCAAATGTCAGGCTGGAGATGAGTGGTTCAGAAGAATAGCATGATGCTCCTTTTACCTTCACTCTGAGCCCAGAGAAAGTGTAGCATGGAGCAGTCTTGATGGATCACCGTCCTGATCCACGCTTGGATCTCAGCAGGAGACATGTAATCCTACTTCAGACTCTATTCTAGTGTAATCTGCTCACTCAAACACGGTCTCACACACAGTCAGGACACTTCTGACTGCTCCGTGACAATGGTCCACAGCAGTTGAACATACTGTATTCTAGAGTACAGGTGAGGCTCCTGTTATGACTGGACTTGTGGTTGTAGGATGTAGTTGTGTCCAAGACATAATCTAATCCTGTAGATCAAACATCCTCTTCCCTTTGCACATCTCTTCAGATTTGACCACCCAACCTCCCCTCACCCATGTAGTCCAAGCTCAGGAAAACCATTTCTGTTCACAGGCAGCAATTCTGCAGCATCTATGGGGAATTTCCTCTTTCTTTCAAAGTGGATTCATTTTACATTCCATCCCTTTACCGGGCAATACTGCTCGTGCCTTGCATAGAAACAATGGGTCTTTTCAGACATGACACGAAAATGGGCAAATCAGAAACAACATACAAAACCTATTCATGACGAAATATATATATATATATTTAAATCTCCCCGTACACGACTGCAGCGAACCCTCCATGTACTCAGCCACAAGCACATGTCCTGGCTGCATTTTACTCTCTAATAAGAAGTTTAACTAAACTACCAATGAAAATGGCACCTATAGATGTGTGTGCACATGTGTCCATGCCAGCAGGTCTTTTCTGTCTGAGTGAACACTTGCCCCAGTCAAGTGAAACGCGGTCAAGTATAAGACATCACTAGGGCTGGAGTGTGAAAGAGGATCAGAGCATCCATAAAGTGTGCACAGAGAAGCAGAATAAAGTAAGATGAATGAAACATAAAACACAAGTGCACTGTTTGAAATGCAAGACACAGAGCTCTGGAGCTGGTCTTACCGTCTGCTGCAGGTCAGGGATTCCAATGCGGATGACTACCGTGTTGCCTGTTGGCTCCTCCATGGGTGCAGCGCTGCTCCGCTCTGCGCCGGGACGGAAACCCACTCCGGCGCTGGGAAAGGGAATGGCGCTGTCCTCTTCCCGGGAGCTGTCGGAGCTGCCCCCCTGGCTGCCGTTGGCTGAGTGCGCGTATGGGTGTGCGTGCCGCTGCTGCTCCTGCCGTGGAGGGCTGGGTGGCTCATGTTTGCCGGCTGCCGGACGCAGAAGCATGCTCCGTCTTAGGGGCTTGGTGTGCCGCTCTCTCCCCACACGCACATGGATGTCAGTCCCACTCTACGCACACACCGCTGGCAGCACACATCGCTGGGCTGGGAGCGAACAGAAGAGAAGAGAGGGGGGAGAGAAGGGGGCAGGGGGCAGAAGAGTGGAATTAGGGGATTACAGGGTGAGGGGAAGACACAAAGAGCAGATAAGTATATAATAACTTTATAACAGCACACTCTGATAAGGAAAACAAATTGGATTACATAGGGTAAAAAGAATGTGACTGAAGTAATACGAATAGGTCCTCTAAATGTGCATCTTAATTCACATGTATTCTTATGCTGGTCGCTGTATTATATGCCATGTTATCTACCGTCTCATTCTCACTGGATGTTTTTTCACCAACATTCTGGGTTGCCTTTTCCTTCCACACTAAGCGACGCAGGCTGGAGTGTTGAAGTGACTTGCCTTTCAACCCGCCTTTTGCATAATGAAAGCGTAACAAGCTGTGTAAAAAGAGTGAAGCTTTTAAATTTGCTCTTTCCTTTATAAAGTTAAGATAAGATAAGATAACTGACTATATTGACCTTTATATAGTATGAAAATGTATATATTGCTCCATGTACGATTGGTAAAAAGCTACAGCTCTGTTAGTCCCGACCAAGCATCAACCAAGCATCAACATCTGGAGAAGCGACCACTTCTCCTGACAGAGGCTCCTGTGGCATTGCAGGACGGGTCAAATGCAGAGGACAAATTGCCCTATAGGGATAAATTAAGTGTACCGTAACCTTAACCTTGACCTGTAGTGGGTGCATTGTGCTGTCTGAAGTTTGTTTTGTCTCTTTATGTTGACACATTCCTATCTTCCTCGTAGCGAAATGCTGAAACGGGCTCAATCAACTCGCCTCCCTTTCCCACTGTTGACACAACACTGTTTGAAACCCTGGTCTAAAAACCTCTGTCTGCAGAGTAGTGTATAAAATCCTTGTGATATCAAAGGATCATTATAGTTCATTTAATATTTTACGTTTACATCATGGTGAAAACAAAACCATAATGTTGCCCCTTTGAACCATGCACTATAAACTATAACTCATTGAGCACATGGCAGTGTATTGACCGCGGTGACATCAGAAACAACATGGGTCAATACACACAGCTGTGGTTTTACACTTTACTATTTCTATCAATAATGCTCCTGCTGAAACATTTCAGCTACAACTACCATCTGCCTTTGCACAGCTAAACCGGTTTAACTTTATGTTTGACTTCAACAGGCCGAGCAGCGTTCACAGGCCTCAAAGAATGTGAGCGATGAACTATTAACTTGGTCAATCATTAAGCTCTTAAATGAAAAGACAAAATGCGGATGGACACGGAGTGTTCCCATGCATTCTACGAGTCTATCAATGTGAGAACAATGACTTTACTATGGTGGCATAATGGTGTGGTAAATAAAGTTAAAATGTGGGGTTGGCCTTAGTTAAGTGCAGCAAGAAGACACGTCCGTTGTAAAGAATAGTCGAATCAAAGCAACCACCACTAATAACAATATGAATTCCCACGTGGTGGATGAGGGAACCCGAAACTGTCTTGATACCTGTGCAAGATTAATAATTTAATGCCATTCACTCCTATGATTTCAGACACATGCCTGTTACATGACGTGATCAGTATTACAAATCGCACCAAGACACAGAATATAATGGAAAAATCATATTCTTAATGAGATCAGATCAAATATTGTCACATGGTTATACAAACATGTTTTCAGGGGCTGTTTTAGATTAATGTGGATTTGAATATTGAATTGAAAGGCAGCATTGAGCACAGACTGAATACACAAAAGACACTTCTCATACACAAAAAAAGAATTGATCAAAATTTGGACAGAAACATCGTTCCCCTGTCTGATTGCCCAAAGACGTACGAGAAGGCGGTGCAAAGTAAACCCGACGTAACACTGGCGATCCTGATTGGAATTGCAATGTATAACAGATTTTTTAAACAAAATTATTTTATTAGTTATTTGTCTGCTATATTGACATATGTAAAAATGTGTATTGTGCATGGTTTGAAATAAATAAAAATAAAACAAACCCTAAACACATTCTGTACAGCATACGGCTGGGCGATATAAATGGTATAAGCGGTATGCGATACAAATTTGGCCAACGATAGAGATTTTTGTTATACCGGGATATTGCGATAGGTCAATATGTCATCAAATTGCGCAGGTTCTGACGCCAGCAGAAAGCACCAAAACAACCGGAATTCAGCAGCATTAGCCTAGCAGCATTAGCCTAGCAGACACCACTGGAAACAACGAACAACAGCACAGCATTCACACAGTGTTTCTGTCTCTGTATTGTTGTCACAGCAGCCCCAGCAGAGGTAAATACACACACAGTAATCACAGTTTAAGCGTCTACCTTTCGGCCAATCAGTGTCAAAGGGGCGTAGGCTTGATCACATTCATTAATGTTGACAAGTGCCAGCGCGGCCCACAGCATCATCATGGCAGAAGTCTGGTAAAGTTAGCGTCAGATTTGGACTTCCCCGGTCAATAGCTCACAAAAGCTACTTTGTTAAACAAAAGTAATTGTGCCAAAATGATCACATTTACATTGACTGTTCAAATCCAATGTGCTGTTTTAATGCAGAGAAATCCATTGCTGCAAGTGCCGAGAAGCGTCAATGTCAAGGCCAGCTTTGTAAACAATAGCTTTTACAGAAGCCATGTACACGCACTAAACTCTCAGACACTATAAATAATGACCATATCTAACGGCTACAGACTTTGATTTCAACATTTGTGATTTTAAATGAATACATACCGTGCCTTGCGAAAGTATTCGGCCCCCTTGAACCTTTCAACATTTCGCCACATTTCAGGCTTCAAACATAAAGATATAAAATTTTAATTTTTTGTCATGAATCAACAACAAGGGGGACACAATCGTGAAGTTGAACGAAATTTATTGGATAATTTAAACTTTTTTAACAAATAAAAAACTGAAAAGTGGGGCGTGCAATATTATTCGGCCCCTTTACTTTCAGTGCAGCAAACTCACTCCAGAAGTTCAGTGAGGATCTTTGAATGATCCAATGTTGTCCTAAATGACTGATGATGATAAATAGAATGCACCTGTGTGTAATCAAGTCTCCGTATAAATCTGCAGTTCATCCAGAGTGATCATGGGCCTCTTGTCTGCATCTCTGATCAGTCTTCTCCTTGTTTGAGATGAAAGTTTGGAGGGACGGCCGGGTCTTGGTAGATTTGCAGTGGTCTGATACTCCTTCCATTTCAATATAATTGCTTGCACAGTGCTCCTTGAGATGTTTAAAGCTTGGGAAATCTTTTTGTATCCAAATCCGGCTTTAAACTTCTCCATACCAGTATCTCGGACCTGCCTGGTTCATGGTTCTCTCTGCGCTTTAAACAGAACCCTGAGACTATCAAAGAGCAGGTGCATTTATACGGAGACTTGATTACACACAGGTGCATTCTATTTATCATCATCAGTCATTTAGGACAACATTGGATCATTCAAAGATCCTCACTGAACTTCTGGAGTGAGTTTGCTGCACTGAAAGTAAAGGGGCCAAATAATATTGTACGCCCCACTTTTCAGTTTTTTATTTGTTAAAAAAGTTTAAATTATCCAATACATTTTGTTCCACTTCACGTTTGTGTCCCACTTGTTGTTGATTCATGACAAAAAATAAAATTTTCATATCTTTATGTTTGAAGACTGAAATGTGGCGAAATGTTGAAAGGTTCAAGGGGGCCGAATACTTTCGCAAGGCACTGTATACCGTTTACTGTCAGTGTCTCAAATTATACCGCAATATGAATTTTAGGCCATATCGTCCACCACTAGTACAGCACAATAAATGTAATTTTTTAAATATTGTCCTCAGAGTCTACATTCAATTCTAATACCACGTTTGTCTGTTTGAGTCTCTCCAGATTGAGATAAAGCAAATTCAGACTGGAAGACAGGAGAACCAAGCTCACAGCGCTCAAAGTCCTCCTGCTGTTGCTGTGGGCAACAGTAATCAGTCAATCACACTCAGCTGCGCAGCGCCACACGCAAAGCCTCGCCTTGCTGCAGCTTCATATCGTGCAAAAGCTCCATCCAAGCAGCAGCTTCATTCACACCGCGACCCTGCTCCGCCCCATCTCCGCCTTGTTCTAGGCCAGCTCCCTCTCCTAGCTACCACCACCAGGGTCTAGCCCCGGGGGATTTCATCTCATGATCTCTTTCGCCTTCTGCAATCGTGCAGTGCTCTGCCGCGGTCTAAGTGCCAAACTCTAAACACATTCTGTACAGCACAGTAAATGTAATCTTGAGTGTAATTTACGTAGTGTCAGATTACCTGCCAACCAACATTCAATTCTAATACCGCATTTGTCTGTTTGAGTCTCCCCAGATTTAACTATGAACAGAAATTCTGCAAATCTTAGCAATTGTCAACAATCCTCTTGCATGTTGCACATTTAAGCTTTATTTCATATGATTTTCATGTTACGGATTACATTTGATTTTGTTTTAGGCTACAGCTGCAATTCCCTTGAATGTTGAATAAAAAGACCAATGCATTCACAGTAACGCTCCAGATAACCTGAAAGACTACCTGAGAGACCTCACCCTACAGTCCACATCACAATCCCTCCGGTTCACAAACACCTACACGTCTCAGTCATCTCTAGAACGCTCAGCCGCAAGACCTGTATTTTTATTGTGTTTCTAACTTTAGCTACTGTATGTTTCAAATGCTCTCGCCATGCACCGTCATGCACAGTATAAGGGGTGCATGTGCATGTTGTTTACGCTAATTTTGGTGCAGGTTGCGCATAACTTATTTGAACCAGGAAGCTCTTTGTTTTACATAATACACTTGAATTAGTTAATCTGTGTGCATTTGCATTAAAGCTGCACTAACTGACTTTGGGATTTTGAAGCCGCGGACTCACTGGCCTCTCTCTTTCTGCTCCC